GGTCTCTAAGCACTTGCTTTATATATCTGGGTGTGCCTGTATAGGGTACATATATATTTAGAATACTTAGCTCTTTTGTTGAATTGAACCCTTTACCATTATGTAATGCTCTTCTCCATCTTTTTTATCTGTGTTGGTTTAAAGTATGTTTTGTCAGAAACTAGGATTGCAACTACTGCTTTTTTCTGTTTTCCATTTGCTTGTTAAATTTTCCTCTGTCCCTTTTTTTTGAGCCTATGTGTGTCTCTGCATATGAGAGGTTCTCTTGAACACAGCATACTGATGGGTCTTGGCTCTTGATCCAGCTTGCCAGTCTGTGTCTTTTAATTGGGGCATTTAGCCATTTACATTTAAGATTATTATTGCTTTGTGTGAATTTTATCCTGTTATCATGATGCTAGCTGGTTATTTTGTAGACTTGCTTATTTGGTTACTTCATAGTGTCAATGGTCTGTGTCCTTCAGTATGTTTCTGTAGCGGCTGGTAACAGGTTTTCCTTCCCATATTTAGTGCTTCCTTCCGGAGCTTTTGCAAGGCAGGCCTGGTGGTGATGAATTTCCCTCAACATTTGCTTGTCTGAAAAGGATCTTTTTTCTGCTTCCCACTTAGTTTGGCCAGATATGAAATTCTAGGTTGGAAGTTCTTTTAAGAATGTTGAATATGGGCCCCTACTCTCTTCTGGCTTGTAGGATTTCTGCTGAGAGGTCCACTGTTAGTCAGATGGGTTTTCTTTTGTAGGTGATCTGGTCTTTCTCTCTGGCTTCCCTTAACATTTTTTCTTTCATTTTGACCTTGGAGAATCTGATGATTTTGTGTCCTGGGGTTGACCTTCTTGTGTAGTATCCTTGCTGGAGTTCTCTGCATTTCCTGAATCTGAATGTTGGCCTGTCTTGCTAGGCTGAGGAAATTCTCCTGGATGATATCCAGAAGTATGTTTTCCAACTTGGCCCCATTTTCCTCATCTCTTTCAGGTGCCCCACTCAGTCATAGGTTTGATCTCTTTACATAATCCCAAATTCTCAGAGGTTTTGTTGATTCTTTTTCATTCATTCTTTTAATTACAACTTTATGTTGTTCAAACCTATAGCATATAGGTAATGACAACATTATTTAAAAGGCTATTTTGGATCTTCATTTTCAACTTCCATTTACTTCTTTGTTGTTGTTTTATTCTCCTGCTGCTTTCTCAGAGGCTTTTTAGCATAACATTTCTACTCCTCGCCAATTCATGGGAAATGCACCAGGGCGCCATATGCTCTGAGCCACCCTTGCAGCAGCAGGGATAGATTTGCTCATGCTCCAACCTCTCTCTCGAGTTTTCCTTTAGGTCAGGTGTATGAGGCCTGGGTGAATGTTGTGGCAGTGGAACAGGGCATCATAGACAAGTGATTCACTCATTTCATGTGTTAACCCCCTGGGCTGTGAGCCAAGGACACTGTGAAAACTACACAGAATAAATCCTTTAGAATTTCTATCTCCTTGTTAAGAGACACGCAAGAAACAAAATTATATAACTGCATAATAGTGTTCCTATTATGGATCTGATTGAGAATTCTTAACAGATTAGCAACACCCACAGTGGACATTAATATGTATAATTATCCTTTGTGGTGTATCTAGCAACTTTAAAAATTATGTCTGGGTTTTGGAATTGCTTGTTTCCAAAAAATGTATTCTGGGGACCAAACTACAAGATTTCCTGGTTGCTCAGAATGTAATAAATACTACTAATAATATATTTCCAAAAATATAGTGTGGTAAATATATTGCCTCTGTAAGGTGATAAACTACAAATCATTAAATAGCTGGTCCTGTCTTACTAAACTAGGAGACCAGTATTGGTATTATGTTTTCAATTCAAAATCATTGGTTTATTCTGTTGTACCTGTTGGCCATTTTTGAATTGCAGAATGTCATGTAAATTTTTAGGATTACGCAAAACAATCTTCTCAGTGCTCATGTACAATAAATAGATGGTTCTGCTTTCAAATACAGTTTTTCACTTGGTTAATGTAGTCATACAGAGTGGAAGACTTGGAATGTTACATTTGTTTGTGGGAGAATAACCTATCTTTTAACATTCCTATTGCTTTTTTCTTTAGAGTCATATTCAGGTTTCAGAACATCTGTGACCATTACTCCTGTTAACCAACCAAAAATGATTTCTTCTAGGTTGTGTTTCAAGGAATAGTTGTATTTTTCTCTAACAATATACAGTAACCTTGGATTTGTATTTTTAATCTTTCATCTGAGTTACTAGGTATGGTTTTTAGGTCTCTATTTACTTTTAATTATTCATAAATCATTTCCGTAAATAAGCAAATGGAATCAAGTTCCAAGTAAATAATACTCATTGACAACTGCATAAAATAATGAGATTATAAAATGGCTATTATTTTCATATACCATGTTGAGTATATATAAGAAAGGAATGGGTATCATAAACCAGCAATTTGCTTTCTTCTAGTATCATTTTAACATTTATATCTTTATTTAGTGACATCCTGCCTATAAAAATGGATCTGTCAGCAAGGCTACTACAGCATATTTCTTAGACCTATAAGAGACTCTAGTCCCAAGAAATACTGCAAAGTAGCTGTACTTTTAACAAGTAGTAATGAAATAACAGAATTATTAAAACATGGTAAGTATTATAAGGAATGTACAATTGGAAACCAGAACAGTACTGACTGAAAAAGCTTTCAACAGGCAATAACTTGACAATTCAGGCAACATTATCCAAAGGAAAGTTAAGTATACAAGAACTTAAGGATCACTGAGCAGTGTCTAGAGGGATTTTTGGTTGTCACAAGTTGGGGGCAGTGCTATGACATCTAGTGTTTTTTGTAGAAGTCAAGTATGCTGATAAACACCCAGAACACACAGCACAGTCCCACACAAAAAAGAATTATCCAACCAAAAATGTCCTGAGGGCCGAGGTTGAGAGGCCCTAGACTACAGCAACTATACTATAAATCCAACATGGAATGTCTCCCAAATAAAACTGGTTGACCTCCGTGAATTTCACACAATAAAATTTTTATTAAAGGTGGTAGATGGCAGTGTGATACTGTAGATTTTGTACTCAAAGTCTTTGTCTTTTCTAACTCTTAAAATGTTTTAATAATTAAGATATGGCATATCAATATTCCAAAGTAATATTTAGGGAAACTATATGCTTCCTTCTTAAGATGAAACTACAGTCTACTTATGAAACACAAGGAAGTTTGCCGAAACATGCTAACTTGGCTTTCTTAATTGTGACTCTGTCACAATTTTTTGTTTTTACTGTTGATAAGATTTATAGGCAAATATATGGGTGGCATGGTATTTTAAGGTATTTTTCTGCCTAATATCTTAAATGTGGTATTAACTTAATTAATTCCTGAGAAAACACATAATCTTCATGGTAAAATAATATGGATTACAAGGGTCTTATGCAAGTGTTCTTTTGATATCATAAAACTTGTGACTCTTAAACATGAACTCTGCCAGCACAGAGCCCTGAACGGACCAAACATGCACATGATGAAATACACAAAACATCTGCTCCAATCTCCATCTAGTATACACATATTTTTATTTCTAGGAGATCTTTAAAAAGTAAAAGAAACCCTTTACTTAGCTCCTCATTGACCTTTTTCCTTGCACTCTTTCACACAGGGATGTTCACAAGTTTTGAGAACAAATTTAAGAGTTCAAAGAAAACGAGAGTAAATCCTGGAGAGCTGAAGACATTCCAAAGTGGTAAATGTAGGCTGAAAATGTAGTATCTGAAACTGAGGGGCACTGATCGTCTACTGTAAACACGGACCTACTAACTGCAATGAAGTATCACAGTAGTGTCTGATAGGTAAGACTCAGCATGAGCAGGCAATTGGAATTCATATTTTCATTTCCTAAGTATAATCTGTATAAACATATATTTGCATTAAAATGACCTGTTAGGAAGTATTTACCAAATTAAACAAGATTACTTTAAAAAAAATAGAACCAAAATCAAGAGTGAGTGAAAACACTGAAAGCTGGAACTATGCTTAAAATCTCTACAGATTCTTCCATGGGTAAAGTTACCAAGTTCACAATGTATTCTGTTATTTCAATAACAGCCTGGTTGCATTCCACATTGGAAAGTAGTTGCACAGCAAGATGACTCTACTATAAAATAATTTTTAGTTATTTTTGACTTTGGCATCTGTCTCAAGTGACTATGAAGGAAGGCTAAAAAAGGCTAACAGAAACCTTTCTTCTCTTACAGTTTTCTACCTTGATCTGGTGACTTTGAGTGAGCTACCTAACCCCTTAGCATCTTAGTTTCCACATTTATAAAATGGCCACAATAATAGCACTCTCCTCACAAAGCTGTTATGAGGATGAAGTGTTACATATGACACACCTGGAGCAGGGCCTGGCATAGCAAGTGCTCTTAAACACTGTGATTACTGTTTTCTTCTGCTAATAATCAGACAGTGATCACCCGTCTGGATGGTATACTATGAGAGACAACTCTCTCATGGCTGGAAAGTCAAGGCAAGAGCCTGTTTCTGCCCCTCTCTTGGCCATCTAAAAGTTACTGGTGGTTTCTTATTTGTCTTTGCAACCCTGTCTTGAGAACAGTGACTTAATTGTAGAAGTTCAGTGAGACACTTTCAATCACCTCTCCATCAAATTACTATTTTACATTAATAGTTTGTTCCTTCCTACTCAATCCAATAATTGGTCTCTTCTTGTATAGTATACTTAAATCTAAACAAGTAGGCACACCTGAAATTTATGTGACTTATCTTTATCCAAATACCAAGACTGCCCAGTTACTTCCTAACTGACCTAAAGTTAGAAATAGTCTATTTTCAAAATGTGATAAAATGGAATTGGTTCCAAGAATGCCTATAGTTTCAAACCATGTAATTTCAGCTTCAGATGTCAAATAAAAACCGTATTTCCTAACATTGAAAAAACAATAATATTTTCTCTTTGAAGATATATGGGTGGTAACTTACTCTTTTAGTCAGCTGAGTATCCATCATGAAATTGTGCACATGTTTTTCTGCTTTGGTAAGTTCTAGCTTCCTTGCCACTACAGCTACCACCAGGGCTGTGCAACCAGCACCCTGAAAACAAGGAGAGAAGAGAACCCCAAAGCGTTACTACTTTCTGTTTCAGACACATTAGAAAATGTTTTGTATCAAATGCAAAAGTTTCTCAGCATTAAAAAAATTGTCTTCAATAAGTATTACAGAAAACACGTGATCAACAAATGTAAGCAATGTGCCTTAAACTGGGATTAAAAATGTAGTTTACATATTTTAAGAACAAAAGCATATTTGGAAAAAACATTTCCTGAAAAGAAATAAATGGCCTAAAAGCAACTTGGTGAATTTTTGGAGACTTCTTAAAAACACAGCAAATTAGTTATATATCTATAATTATAACAGGAACAAATAACAAATGAGTAGATTAGCATAAATGTCTATGGAGTAGAAATAAGGATGTTTTTCCATAAAGAATAAACCTCTAATTTTAAGATGAGAGCAGCAGGCCTTCAAGCTGATGAACTGCAATGTACCAGGAATGAAAGTAATAAAAATTATCTCAGCATATACACAGCTTCAGAGTGTTCCACACACACAAGAGGAAGGATAACAGGAAGATCACAGTGATCTTAACTTGAGCAACAGAGACCTGTAAAGTGCTGAAGGCAAAGGGTAACCATTATACTATTTTACAGGTTTACTAACATGACACTAGGAAAGTCATGGGTCATCCTTATTTTGAAAACAACAAACAAACAAACAAACCAACAGTATTCCTTTTTGAATTACAGACCACTGTGTTGATCTCTTAGAGTACCACATATTCTCTTTTTCTAAGAATTATAGTCTTACAGCTCTGTGATCAAGGTGTACTTATTCCAAGTTGTGAGAGTCTTCTTTGCTGAAAAACTGCCAGCTACTTGCAGGCCAGGGGACAAATCTGGGGCACTATTTGGAGGGCCCAGACAAGCTCATAGTGCTGCAGCCACTTCATCAGTCCTGGGCACAGCAAACCTCCCAGCAGGGAAGGTGGCACATGAGGAACTACCTCAGGGGTCTGTGAATGGGAAGTCACACCTCCAGACAGAATCTCAACCCTGAGAGGCCCAAAGAGCCATAGACATTGCCCAACTAGTCTCAAAAAACAGATAACAATGTAAATGGCTGAGCACAGGCAGAGCCCACTGGAGAGAGGCACAGAAAGTAGATGTGATTTAGCTATTCAGTTAGTTGTAGACCAATGAATGCATCTTTGGGCTTACTGAATGAGTTGCTGCAACAAATCTGGCAGGAGGAACAAGATTGAGAAGAAAAGGAGAGAATAAATACGCTGCCTGATGATTATGATCATGAAAACTTGGCCACAATGATTAGCCAATACTGCTTTAATATATTTCCAGAGGACTTAAATAGCCCATTCCATCTAGTTATATGAAGAAATCAGTATCCTCAGAAAGAAAGTGCTACTGATCACATGATCAGAGAAAGAGGTTGCCAAGTATTTAGACATTGATTTAGCCCTCTGATTTTACAGTTGAGACAACTAAAGCAGAGTAAATTATTATTCACTTTATGAGTATATAAAGTATTACGCAGTTACAAACCTTGATGAGCACTGATATATTTCCTACTCTTCATCTCATAATATCTTTATCTATATTTAGGATCATATACAGTTGAATCTCCATATCCATGGGTTCCATATCCATGGATTCAACTGGGTTGAAAATCTTTGGGGAAAAAAAATGGATGGATGTATCTGTACTGAACATGTATAGACTGTTTTCTTTTGTAATTACTCCTTAATAACAATGCTGTTTAGCAACTATTTGTACAACATTTATATTGTATTAAGTATTGGTAATCTGGAGATTATTTAAAGTACACAGGAGGATGTACCTAGGTTACATGCAAGTACTACACTATTTTATAAAGGACTTCAGCATCCATGGATTTTGGTATTCATGGCAGGAAGCAGGGTTCTGCAACTGAACCCCCACGGATACAAAGGGATGACTGTATATTCTTATTTGTGATTATGCCACAGCTATGATGCATATGATACACTGTATTTCAAAGCAAGACAGGAAATTCAAATTTATCATCTGTTTTATGTGATAAACTCTTAAAGTATGAATGTCTAAAAATTGAGCAACATTGTTACCAAAATAATTAACATTGTTCCTATTATAACTGGCATAACTTTTAAATTGGTAGTTTTTAACCTTGACTCTAAGTAGAATCACTTGGAGAGTCTGTAAAAATCCTAGTGCTGAGACTGTATGCCTCACAGCAAATCTTCATCTCCAGGTGTCTGAATTTTTTTTAAAGCTTTCCAGGTGATCCCAATGTACAGTCACTGCTTTAGACAGAGGAGGATAGGGAGTGACTATGACAAACTCCATAAACCTTCTATTAAAACAAGAGGGTCAAAATTCTTATCAGAGTCATTTTGACTGGCTTATGAAAACATTCAAGAAATGATAAAGGCAGACGGTGTGATGTTATTTTGATATTTTGTGCCATATGCAGACAATGAAAGTGAAGTATTTTAGAGCTGGGTACCAATGAAAGAGAAGAATGGCCTTTAGAAGCATCTCTACCCATTTTATTGACTTTCAAACATCTACCATGAAGTCTAATGAGTTCTAGCAGGCTGATGAGACCAAATCAGTGACCACCCACGATAGCCATCTGCATCTACCTGCTGTCTGGTATAGCACATGCCCGACAAACCCAGGCTACCCTTTTGCAGATATGCTCCTAGCCATTCCTCAATCCCTGGGTTCTACAGTAATGTGGTGGTTCAAGGCAGCAATGGTTCTTTAAAAAGCAGAGGTCATAAAAATCTGAGGGGCTCCTAACTGCTAGAGAGACAGCTATGACAGGGTAGTTGGCCCAAGAAGTTGAACTATTCTCCCCTGGTAGGTGACCTCTGCTGAGATTTTTCTGAAAAGAAATCATAATCCGAAGAGGAGTGGAAAATCACTGGTATCAAGAGGCTTGGAAAGCGGATTTTTATTTTTGTTTATTCTCAGGCTCTGTTCTTTTCTGCTATTGGCCCGTTTCTCACCAGGTGTCCTCTCACTCACCAAAAGACATGTGCATTAAAATGAGTACCTCTGTTGCAAATTGGAAAAGAAAGTAAATCCAATAATTCAGTAATTATCAAGACTACTATCTACATACCTCGCTCCATTATCCTAACTCTACCCCTTTCTAAGTTATGCCTCCAGAGCCACTTTTTGTTCAAATACAAACCCCTTAACTCGTTAAGTTTTATTACAGCGAAGAAAACCACAAACCTATACCTCCCTAGATTCTTAATAAGTCATAAGAGAATCCTATATGTATAGAATCACATTTCAAGAAAGTAACCTTATTTTTTAATTTTTAAGAGTTATGCAAGATGAAACTGGCTAACTTCCGAAAGCTTTCTAGGTTCAAGGTAAATTCTTGCCAACACATTCATGGTTATAGTAATTTAAGTAATGGCATAATATTATTGTCCACCCAGTGTCTATTTCCAGGACCATTCTGTTTCATAAAGTGAAATAAGAATGGAAATAATTATGATTTTACAACATTTTCTCCAAAGCTTGTCACCACCACAATCCATGTAGAAACAGTTGGGACTAACATATGTTACTCTCTGAAATTAAGATCCCTGTATGCATTTAACAAGATGAGTCATAGTCCTTTCACCAAAGTCAGAAAATGTATCCTGGTTACTTTCTCTCATTTCATTTATCTTCTTAGAAATAAACCTAAGCAAAATCACTAAACTGCCACTTCAAGATGCTTGGGCACCTAAAACCAAAATGAAAAAAATGCAGTGTATTTAGGAAGTCAGTATAGTAAAAACAAAGGTTTAGGTTTCCTTTGCTTATCATCTTTCCTTCTAATGTTGAAAGAGAGAAAAAGGGAAAAGTTAAGGGGGGAGAGGGAGAAGAAGAAAGACTTTGCTTTAGAAAAGATAAGAAATGACAAGTGTTGTTAATGTTCACTACCCTAAGCCAAGCCAGATCAAACTGAATAGACAAACGACTATTAGTTACTATTACCCATGTACCTCTAGGGAAACCCCAACATGTGGATAGTCTTAGATGCTGCCAAGTTAACATTAAAATGTAGTGCTTTTCTCCACTACAGCACAGAAACTGTAAGCCATGTTGAGCCCTTAGATGAAAAAGAAGTTTGGGTATCCCATTTCCCTCAAAATCATGTATCACATATTTGAAAAATTCAAATAAGTGACATATTTTTACCCTAAATCACCTACTTATGCGGATCCTGCAAATAATTCCAAGAATCCTTTTGAAAGACCATTTTGGGATCAAGCTTTAATAACTTAAGGATACAAGCCTATGAAAAGGAGAAATTCCTTCAATAGCACACTGGGGAAAAGGTTTTGATTATTTCAACACTGAAAAAGACATCTTCCAAAGATTCAACATAATTAAAAAAAAATTTTTTTTTGAAACAATGTCTCACTCTGTTGCCCAGGCTGGAGTGCAGTGGCGAGATCTCGGCTCATTGCAACCTCCACCTCCTGTGTTCAAGCGATTCTCCTGCCTTGGCCTCCCGAGTAGCTGGGATTACAGGCGCATGCCACTACGCCCAGCTAATTTTTGTAATTTTAGTAGAGACGGGGTTTCACCATGTTGGCCAGGCTAGTCTCGAACTCCTGACCTCAGGGGATCTGCCCATCTCGGCCTCCCAAAGTGCTGGGATTACACATGTGAGCCACCACACGCAGCCCTTATAAAGAAATTCCAGAATCTTCACCACTACAGAGAATGGCTCTGATAAAAAAAAAAACACGTGTGTTTAAAATATTCTAGTCTTAAAGTATTCTCCTGTGGGTTTTATTATAGCTCCTAAAAGTTCAAAATTCAGTTTGATAGCCAGTTTATTAGACTAAATAGACTATTAGCCTATAATTAAAATTTATTAAAATAATTTGAAAGAAATCATGCTTTTATGTAAAAATTAATAAAACAGCATTAAGATCTTTAACAAATCAGCTTGCCCTCCAAACGGAAGGTAAAATAAATATCTGAACATATTACCTTTTTTTCTGTCCCTGGAGCTGACTGACTCAATCTACGAGAACCATACCTACATTTTCACTATACTTGCCAGACAAAAATACTTATTCTTTCATAAAAATATGTGAAACAATCAATTCTAGCAAATAACATTTTATAAAGCACTCTGCTTTAATATTATATCCCACTGGACTTTTGCAAGGTTTCCTCAGGTCATGAAAATAAATAAGATTCAAGGGAAGTTTTAAAGACAAATTCTATCAAAAATGCCCTGAGTGTCTTCAAATACAAGTTGGTGTATGCTACTAGAGAATGGAGGTCAATTTCAAATGTCCTTATTGTGAGGGGAGAGTGTGTGGTGTTTGAGCCCAGTGATTAAGCCTGGGCTGGGGCAACTCAAGCCTCCTTTACAGTGATTTGCTTGTTCAGCTCATTCTTGTACTCTGCGGGTCAGAAAGAAGGAAGTACTGCATAAAACTGCTCATCAACAATGAGTCATCCCTGGGTTTAAATCTCCTGATTAGCAACAGTGCCAATGTGAGTGCAGGTACTTCAGAGACAGGAAGGACAGCTCTGCCAATTAAAAGTGCTGATAGTTTAGAAAAATTAGGTGAAATTGTGGAGTCAATGAGCTGTGTGCTAAAAGGTCACAAGTTCCAGCTCTACTTTTCTGTACCCAGAAGACAGAGGCTGTCATATTTCTTCAAGAAATTTTTTTGGGATCCACTTATGAAATTTCCTGGGAGGAAGTGAAGGTCCCCAAGAAAGGACATTGCTGGGGAATTTAGCCTTGTGACTGAAAAGGCTCATCATCACCTCTGGCTGCTCTGTGCAAAACAGAAACTACTGTAAGCACTTAAAGATACCCTCCCCTCACTGGGGCTTTTTTTTTTTTTTTTTTTTTTTTTTTTTTTTTTTTTNTCAATGAACACAACAGAACCAAAAAGCAAACTGAAAGTTAAAACCTCTTCAAAATTATTTGATACTAAACACCTAATGTCAAATTGTATGAGACATTTTTAAAAATCCTAAAGTGTTTTGCACATTTTCAAACATGCAACACCAAGGAATGGCTTCAGATCAGTTTCTCAGGATTTCTATGACCACTGGCAGGGGAAACAAATCCTCAAACGGAAATAGAGAAAGTAACAGGAAGAGGAATATAATCAGACCTTAGGTTTTACATTCTTTCATATCCATCATTTCTCTTTATGAGCTCCAGCTAATTCTTGCTGTTTTGGAACACCCTCTTACTAACTTAACAGGGTAGTGTCATTGCTCTTCAGGATGCAAACTGTTTAACTGATGGAGTCACCATGTAATATTAAAACAAGATTTCCTTGGCAGAGGGCAAATTTAATGCGGAGAGGATTATCATCAAATGTTCTTAAGGAAAGGCAAGGCTGTGTAAAGGCTTCTGTCCTCAACTGACTTTTTTTTGTTGCCTGGATAAATTTTTAAAATTTAATTAGTGTAGTGATTTTCAAATTGCTATGAACTGCAAAAGCTTTATGCATTGCTTTTGTTTACACAGAACTACTAGTGGGATGGAAGAAACCTAAATCACCCACGTGTGAAATGTCCTCAGTTTTCTTGAGGGATTCATGCTAGATGTTGTCAAAGTCTAGTGGTTTATAAATTGCTATTAGAGAACTATTTATTGGATGACAACCTGCATCCCTCGGAATTAACAGATATTACTCCATATTTAAAGATAATTAAGCCAAAAAATCAGTAATCTATGCTCCAGTCAAAAGGCCAGTAAGAGTCACCATAATTTTACAGAAATAGAGAAGCAAAAATAAATGAGCAAACCTCATTCTAGTAGAATAAGAAAGATACCCTTACCTACAAGGCTATCTTTCACTCTTGAAACAATCATATATATTCATAGCTTTCAGGATGTGTTATATCTATATGTCTAGGAAGATAAAATAACTTTGTAAATGCTAAGTAAAATAATTACTTTATTGGAAAAGTGGAGACATTGAGAAACTAACTGGTGTTGTCCAAAAGCTAAGATAGGCACTGTGATCTAACAATATTACCTGCCTACCACCTTCAACCAAAAGTACTAAGTTATTTAGAAATCATCCCATTGTTTATCATGACCTTTACAATAGTAAACCCTCAGGTCCTCAGTACTTCCTCAGATAGTGGAAGGGTAGAAGAATAAAGAGAAAATAAGTAATTACAACCATAATGGTTTTCTCTTGAAGGCTAGTGAGTGATTTTCTTCTATTTGGCAATCCCATGACCTATGCTGTAAAAATATTATTAATAAGAAACCTTGGTCTCTTGAGCTTTAATTCCCATACTGGTCTTGGTAATGCAGAAATTTCTACATTCTCCCTAGGAGTGTCTAGGTCACTTCCATTCACATTCCCTTGATCCCTAAGGAGCTGATGGGAGATGTAATGAACTTCCAGAAGTGAATCCCAGGTAGACTGCCCTGTAGCCTGACTCCATGGGAATCTGCTTGGTATAGGAGCAGAGATAATCCAACTCTATATAGCATTTCAAATAGGTTACTCAAAGATTAGTGAATTTCTCTGTATGCAAGTAAACCAATTTTGAACAAGTCAATTAGGAAGTAAGTCTGTCCCTTATGAAGGAGAGGGAATAGAGCTCCTCAGCCTAAGAACAGAGGGACTGCTTTACCATGAGCTGAGAGGGCTGGAACGAAGTCACCGTAAATTCCACTACATGTAACATTTTTGTGTTCACATATATTCAATGGTACTATAACTTCTCTTTTTTAAGCAAAGTAAGATCAATAGTGAAACCTAAACAAGAGGCAGTTCAAGAAGGTAAATAAAAGATTTGTACTATCTGATGAGACTTTGAAGGAACAATTCTTGAGACATGAGGAACAAGAAAATATCAAGGAAGAATAAACGTTTTGTAAAGCCTAGGCAAGTTTAACCTCAAATTTGGCTCTGATTCCATGGTGGATAAGCCTGTGCACATGACCCTTGAGTCACACCTGATTCAAGAATAAAAGAGGGTACCATCTTGACAAAAAGTAACACTAAGGAAGTTGTTTCTAAGAAACACTGGGAGAATGATACTGCAATTACCAGTTTTTATAAATAGCATCGTTTATATCCCTTTTGGGCATGTTATGGGCCTTCTAAAAACACATCTATGCAAATTATATTTCTCAAAGCATCATACCACATAATAAAATGCTATTATTTGAGGGAAAAAGGGGAAGTGATCCAATAGTAAACAGATAATGGAGCATACCAAGTATTATATTTTTTTAAAAGTTCGCTATAATTTTTTAAACTATTTTTCATTTATATACAAATAATGTTAAATTATGCCCCCAAATTATATTTTCTACAACTGAGACTTGAAATGGCCATCTTGTTACAACTGGGACATTAAAATTGAACCTGGATTTTATTTTCAAAGCTAGCTGCCTTATCCCAGTTGAATACTACCGAAGGGGGAGATGGATGTTGCCTCCCTGTCTACAACAAGGGCACTCCTTCCATTCAGCTGCGACTCTTGGAGCAATGTTCCCAGGAGGCTGTTGCAAGGGTATGCACCGTGCAATGGCCACCACTCAGAGGCCCTCAAATGGCAAGCCTCTGCTCTCTCCTGCCAGGCTGTGAGTGAATACAGTAGAGGTGCTGAACAGAGTACCTGGTTTCAGATATTCTGAGAATTTGGAACTTGCAGTACTCGTTCACATCCTCGTGCAGACAGAAACCAAACAAGAATCAAGATGACACTCGTTGCTGTAAGCAAATTTTAAAGAATAGATAAAGAATGCAGACAAGCCTAGGTCATTGAAAACTGTGCATCAACAATTTGAAACTACCTCTGGTTTAAATATTTAGAAGTGGACACCACATTATAATCACAGCTTGCTTGCTAGCCTCCCATTTCCTATACTAAAAGAAATGGAGCAAAAAAGCGGTCCTGGCTAGTCATGTCTAGAGGGGCAAAAAACGCATCTAAGCATTTTAGGCATGCCAGGAGAATGATGGCACGTCAGCAGCAGACCTTTCTCAAGTGTTCCACAAGACCTGGCCTTCTGTCCCTTCCTCATGCCAGGCCACTTTCCCCTTTTGCTCTTTGTGCTCCTGGCCCAGTGACCTGGCTCCAATGTCCTGAGCTCCTTCTTGCCTCATTGCTTTCAAAGAAACTGCTTCCTCTTCGTGGAATGCCTTTCCCATCTCCCTTCCTGGGTATGCATACTTCTCACTTCAGTGTAAAAGTCAATTTTCCAGAGATTTATCTGGGTAGATCCCATCCCTTTCCTCCAGGCCCAAAACGGGCCAGAAGCTTTACTAGTTACACAATGTAATGAATCATTATTTTTAAAATGTAAGTCTTTCCTTGTAAGCTCCATGAAGGCAGGGCAGTAAGTTTCTATCTTCTTTTGATATATTCCTAGTACCTAGACCAGTGCCTGGCACTCAACATTCATTAAAAGAAAAATAATTATTACATCTTCAATCCTTCAACACATTTCAAGATAGTTATATGGCCACATTTTACAATTTACTCAAATTTGCACAGCTAGTAGAAATGGAAGATGAGAGAACACAGACTTAAAGGACTTCCTGACTCTGAAGCCAAAGCTCCAAGATCAAATTAGTTCGTCAAATTAGTGCCCGCCCCACAGGGGCAATCAAACAGCTCTACCTCTTCAACAGAATTGCATGATGAAAAGAATTACGATGAGAACTATTGAAATTCTCTCTCTTCACAAGTTGGATTTATTTATACCGATTTCCTGCTGATGGGAAAACAAGTTGCTCACAATGACTTAACACATGGACTGAGTGGTTTAAGTGCCTTCTTGAGTGTAAATGAAAGAGATGTGAAGTATAAAGACACTTACCATAATTCCAGTAAGCAAGCAGACTCCTTTTCCACAGTATGTATTAGGTACCATGTCACCATAACCAATGGAGAGGAAAGTTATTGATATCAACCACATCGCTCCAAGGAAGTTGCTAGTAACATCCTGTTGATCATGGTACCTGAAAAACAGCAAACAAGGGCCCGTCCTTTATAATTAATCTCCAGTATGACAGCTGAGTGTGGTTTGGTTCAATTCAGTGAATTTACTGTATCTTCTATAAACTGCTATATTTAGAAGTTTTCAAAGCTTGTGAATATAAATAAAATTGAGTTCCATCTAAGCAATTCCAGACATCAGAAAGAGCCTCAACTTTATAAATAATCTGAAAGAGGCTGTAAAATATGAAACGGATTTCCTCACTGGTGTAAAATGGCACATTTATCTGTGTAGACTCCAATGGCCCTGCCCGAGTCTCATCACTCCTTGACTAGCTGATGTGCCAGACTTGGAAGACAATATGCAGCTGCCCAGTCTCACTCCTCACCTTTGTAAGCACAATGAACCATGCTCTCCCCTTTGCTTGGATTATCCTTTGCTACCTTTATTTCCTGAAGATTGCTAACTCCTCTTCATCTTTCAAAGCAAGTTCAAGTGGGAGACTTTTCTGCCATCTCTTCCCCTCGGTGCCTCCCCTGTGCTCCCTCAGTATCCTGCATATCCCTAGATCATGGGACCTTATTGCAATATCCTTCATCCCTGAACACAGAAACTGTACCTCTGATCACAGAGTCCTTGCCCATAACCAGAGCTTAATAGAAGTTGTCTTACCAGTTACACACAAAGAACTTATAGTTAAAAAGAGGGAGAGGGATACAAAGTATTGTAATCATTCTTTGAGGTGTCAAATTTTACTGGTAAGGAAGAAAGCTTTTATATCAGAAATAGGTATCCTATCACATTTTGGTTGAATTAACGTACTAAAGGGGAAACCCTCTGTGCCCATGATGTGGACACCGGTTTTATACAACAGCACATATGCATACAACAGTAAGGCCATGGGAGTTGTCACCCTAGAAGAATTTGCTCTGGATTCACATTCTGTGTAGTCATGGGGCAGAGAGGCCCTGCTCTGCTTTCTATGACAATCAGGCCCCAGACTCCCGTCACCAGAGGACTTCCTTGCTTTTCGCCCACCATTGGAAAGGACCACCACTCCTTCCCATCTCTCAGACACGATTCAGAGGGCTTTCCTTTCCTCATTTATTGCTCTGCAAAATATACTGATAATTGCCTGGTCCTCATCATCATCTGCTTCACTCACTCAGTCCTGACTTTCAACTCAATTCCCCATCTGTGTCTGTGCTGCCAGTGCTGTGGTGGCAAGGCGGCTGCTCCTAGCCAGAGCCCCAGGATTAACCCTGTATGCAACCTACACTGGGCCACTGCATTCTCTATGCTTTCTATTTTTTCCTGTCCCTCATCCCATGCCAAGCTTCCTGCATCAGAAACCTAAAATGCAGATTTATTTTATATCATGGGGTATAAGCTTTTCACCACAGTATCCGATCTTACACTCTATATCTTTGGACGCCCAAGAGACCCATTCTTATCACATTTGTCCCTTAGCTTTCTTCCAGAGAAGTTCTCTCTAAGAAATTCTGTTTCCTGCTACTTTGGACTAAGGAAAGAGGCTCCGGGCAGGAGTGGGTGGAACCCCAGAGAAAGGGTAATGACTGATCTCCTGGAATCAAAGGGAAGGGCATTGAACAGGCAGCCGGCCTGGTTAGGAGCATTCTGCAAGTTTCTGGTGCCAAGGTGCAGAAATCACCACTGTTCCTCACCCCAAAACAACCTCCATGACCTGGCTGTAGAGTCCCCTCTTCCCAGACTGTCTTGGTGTAGAGGCCGTCATTGTCAAAAGGAAAGTCAAATGTATTCCTAGCATTTCAGGCAGACAGATGAGTGTATTTCCCCTGAGAGTCTTTGTTACCTAACATACACCTAGGAAGGTGCTATGTGATTAGTGCTACGCCCAGCCACAATATAAGCTAAACAGGATTCTGTGGACTGCTCTGGGAGCCTGCTATCCATATGTAACAGCTTCGATGGGAGGACATGGCTTTCCTTTAAAAATAAATCCCTAGAAGCAAGCTCTGGATTATAACCTATTAATAGTATTGGGGCTCTCTACTTAGTATTCCTCACCAAGCAGTTCCTAAAACAGAAAATACATTATCCTGTCATAAGTATGGGCTATAAAGAGAGGGGAGGCAAAAGAGTTCATTTCCTATTCAATTTTTAATTGTGAGATAAAGTTTCCTCTTAGCATAATTCATATACAGATCTGATACACTTAAGAGTTAATGACTCTAGTTCCCTGATTAATACTTACTGAGTGTTCACTATGTACTCAGAGCTTAACTTGCATTTTTTCATTTGACATATGTTTTAATGCATGGACAATCTTTGGCTGAAACAGTTACATTCTTGACCTCTATATCAGCAAAGTGTCCTTCAATACTTAGTCACCAGCCTGCCCAACACAGTGAAATCCCATCTGTACTAAAAATACAAAAATTAGTGAGGTGAAAGGTGCGTACCTGTAGTCCCAGCTACTTGGGAGGCTAAGGCAGGGGAATCACCTGAACCTGGGAGACGGAGGTTTCAGTGAGCTGAGGTTGCAAGACTTCTTCTCAAATTAAAAAAAAAAATATCTACCTAGGCATGTGGTTTTCATAGAGCAGCTAACTACAAAGAGAACTAAGAGATTTCATACTAGAAACAAAGCTCTCTGAAGGTACCTTCATGGCTGTTGCCTACAGAGAAATCTCAACTTTGAGATGGGTGTCAAAGTCTTTCTAATCTCTCCCTCCTGTAAAATAACATCTCATACTAATGTTTATGTTACACTCAGACATACTTGATTGTGAATATTCAAGGTGAGGTAATCAGGAACCAAATTAGATACTTTTAGAGTAATCTCCTATTTTGTTTTTCTGTAACTCAGAAACAAATATTAGACTTTTCACAGGATGATATTATTTTAACCCAAGTTTTTAATCTATGACAGATTCACATTAAAATTAGTGTAAGAAGTGCCCGATAATCTCAATCTTTTAAAATGAGGACTTTGGAGTTGCGGCATGAACTCCACGCTTCAGGGACTAAGATCGTAAGATCAGCTTTAATGTTTTAAAAGAAGCAAAATGTTTATTTTCTTAATTTCTATTCCTAATTCACTTCTTCATTCATTGCTGACTGTGGGTCTCACACTCTTTCTTAGATTGCAAATATGACAGCTTTCTATAACATTTGTCAAAGTTCACAGAGTTATCCTTCCCAGCTCAGTGCTTTCTTCCCCAGGAGAGCGGTGGCCTCTGTGTCCTGCCTCCCTCAGCACCTTCATGCTAATGGCCGGCAGTTACGCTGTTCTTCACAGCTCTCTTTCTCTGCAGATGTGTTTCCTTCTGCTGGGAAACACATTCCCCCTTTTCTCTAACCCTGATTTGTACTTTGAGGATCTGTTTGTGGGTGTCCTTCTCCAGATTCCCTGTAGCTTTTCGTCAGCATGATACTCCAGCCTGGTTCCCTCTCTGTATCCCAGGAACATCTTGTAGATATCTCTAGCAACATTCGACAAATGTTACTTTGGGTCATAAGACAGGTAATGTGGGATTTGCCCATCTAACATGCCCTTAGAATTGAAATTATGAAGAATTTGAAGACAAAGACTATGCTTTATTCATTGTTGTACAGTCACAGATGCTTATAAAAATATAACAGGGAAGTAATCGTTGACGTAATTAGTGTGACAAAGGGAAACATTTCTTCAACTCGACTTACCCTAGGCCACATGCTTGATTTTTTGGATCATATACATAGATACAAAAAGTGGATAAAAATAATTCTGGCTCATAAGTGAACGTAAATTGGATTTGTCACATTACGTTCCAAGATCTGTGTGCAACTTATAATGTATTTTTATACCTTTAAAAATAATTCAGTCATGGAGGTTAACAGCTAACAAATTGTGTTCATTAATCCTTTTCTATTAAACTTACCAGTAATACTAAAAATGGCAAAAAAAAAAAAATCTCATCTCAAATGTCAGCTCTGGTCTCAAATGTCAACCTTAGTTACATAGTGAAAAGTATTATGGAGATGTTAATGCATGTGATCAAACTACCATCACTTCTCTTTCCGGAATCCATCTCTCTCCTGAAATACCACTAAAGTGATGGCAATGCATTTTTTTAAAGGTGTAAACCAACAAGAACAAAGGGAAATGAAAGGAGACATCGGAGAACAAGAAACAATACATTCTTATCTGAATGAGTGTGTATCTTCCTTTCAGCCAAGATGGAGCAACAGAGAACTAGATTTATACCTTTCCTGAAACAACTAAAAAAGCAGATAAAATATTTGATACAATGGTTATCAAGACATTGGTTATCTAGCAACAAAGGACAGTGATTCTTGAGAGACGGAGAACAACTAAACTGAGCAATACAATTGCTTCCACTTTAATGCCTAAAGAGAATCTCCCAGGTGCAGCTCAAGGAAGGAAACCTGGCACTGCCAGGAGGTCTCCCTCTATTGAAGGACAGGGCTGGAAATCCAGGGAGGTCAAGAATTCAAAAGTCCAAAAATCAGGGAAGAGAAACCTGTACAGAGACATATGCAGAGATCTGCAAAGAGGTCTGCTCAATTAGTCAGCTGAAAACTCATTAGTACCTGCCTGCAAAACTACTCGAGGCTGGAGAAGTAGCTGTACTCTATGTGAAGTGATACAGTATCGCTTGAAGATAGACTACAGTAAAAGGTAAACTATCAGGTGAAGAAAGATTGTGCTAACATAGGTATGGTGTGCCTAAGTATGTAAGTGCAGGCATACTTGGGGATACTGCAGGTTCAGTTCCAGTATCTGGAATCTTGTAATCATGCAAATATTTCAGTAAAGCAAGTCACACAAATTTGTTTCCCAGTTTATAAAAAAGTTATGTCTATACTATACTCTAGTTCTATTAAGTGGTGCTATAGCATAATGTCTTAAAAATGCATATACCTTAATTGAAAGTACTATATTGCTCAAAAATTCTAAGGATTTAGTCCTTCAGTGAGTCATAATCTTTTTGCTGGTGGAAGGTGTTTCCTCGATGTTGATGGCTACTGATTGAT